GTTAACCCCTTCTCCTTCCCCTCCTTCCTCGCCTTAAACCCTCTCCCTGGTTTTGTTGCGGTGCCCTCCACCTGTGCACGGCAGGTCAGGTCGGAGCTGCAGCCTGCGCTTCCTTGTACAGATACCCCGGTGCCCTATCACGGGATTGCTGCGGGTGCTGCAGTCCGGAGGCGTGGCAGTGCCTTGGGAAGGTTCAACACTGTTGTTTCGCAGGGGAATGATGCACCCAACACACACGCCTGCAGGCTGCTCAGATGTGTAACTCGTCCCTGGAGGATCTGACTGTTACCGGTGGGGTTACAATGCAGAGATGGGCTCTGTATAAAAACTATCTTTAATGGGCTTTACTTTATGGATGCCACTGACAGCCTTCTGCAACGCCCAAATAATTCAGAACTGTTCAGCTTACAGGTGGTCTCCAGTAAGCCGTCTCATCTTGCCTTGCAGCGAGTGTCACAACTCTCAGACATCTACTGTGGATTAGATAAACATTGAGAAAACAAAGCTAAAATAGTGCTATTTGATTTGCTGTCCAGCCAGCCTGTGTGCTAGGGTTTTGCAGTATTTTAGGTGTTTGCAGGAGAGGAAGAGCCTTTAAGCAAAAATATGGGTAACTTAATCAAAAGACCTCATGCGGTTTGGGGTGTGTGTTAATCTTGGAGAGAAATTAGGGTGGTTTTGATCTTGTGCTCAGTGTTATGCTGCTGAATCTTTCATGCTTTATGATCTAATGTTTGTTGTATTTTAACCTAATAAATGTGTAAGACAATTCTGCATTAAACATACAAGGAAAGTTATAACTTACTGTCTTTTTGTTTGGTTGCAGTGGTTGAAAAATTTGACTACGTTTTTCCAGAAAACGGTCTTGTAGCGTACAAAGATGGGAAGTTCTTGAGCAAGCAGGTAAGTGTGAAATTTCCAGTAAAATGAAAGAGAAATTTTCTAAACAAGTTTTTGCTCTGTTGGTACAGTGCAGTCCTCTATAATCACCCTTCTAAAGCCAAAATTGCTGCTATTTTCATGTGTGACTTCTGTAACAGATCATTTATTTGGCTTTGCGATTCATGTAATGACAGCCTGCACCTTCAGCTTTATTCTTTGGGGTATTCCCAAAACCAAAAGCCATTGGAGTCTGGGGTGTCTGACTGAATAACAACAATGAAAACCCTGGAACAGCCTTTCCCTCAGCCTGTCATGGATAGGAAATGTGGCCAAGCCCTCTGCTCCTGGAGGTCCTATGGAACATGGCATTCTATAGCTGATGTCTGCTGGGCCTTGGGATTCAGAAAGTTTCTTGTAGCTGCTTTTTAGTATTAATTCAGAATGCACATTCGGATGTGCTGCATAAGCTAGAAGTAAATACTCTAAATCAATACAAACATAAATCTGATTCTGGATACCCTAATCACCTTCCTCAGTTCAACATTAAGCAATGGAGAACGGAGCTCCTGGCTGAAGCTGCTGGCTGGAGCAGTGGTTTCCAATTCACTGCAGTAACGATCTCCATTTCTTCATGCTTGGCTACAGTAGACATGAACTTCTTGTTTAAGTCTGCCAACACTATTTCCTTCTAAAGGAGGTACTAGTAGGGAGCATACTAAATGAGAGTTTGGTGTTACAGTTCCAAAAAACCCAAAGTAAACAAAAATGAGAGCGTTTAGCTACTACCGCGTGTGTATCGACTGAGAGTTACTTGTTGAAGGCACGTTTCTTTGTGGTATTAACCATGCCCGATTATCCAGTGTCTGTGTTTTCCATGTGACTTGTTTTTAGACTCTCAAATTCTGGACCCTTGGTTGAGTGGTATCTATTTTGTTAGAACATTCAGGGTCACCTGGGTGAGGACATACTTCAAGATCTGATCAACTACTGCCTGAGTTATATTGCAAAGATTAAACTGCCTAAGAAAAGGTATGTGCATACAAGCATCTCAGTGTCTCCATGTTACAGCATTGAGCATCAATATGTAAAGCAGGCTGCTCAGCAAAACATGAATAATTTGTGTCTTCGGAACACTGCATACATGAAACGGGGCTCAATCTCCGCCTACAAAGACAAGGTCGCAGCTGGAGCACAGGATTTGAAATACTCATTGAGTATTTTTATTTAAGAGGGAAGGTAGTTCAGTTTTGAAGTAGGAGTACTTCCTTGACATGTTTGGAATTTGGCAGCATACTGTTTTCCAGAGATTAGAAGCATGCAGTAAGCCCAGTTCTGTGTGACACGTGAGGGTGCAGCTGCTCCAGACATTAACACGTACCATATGGGAGGCCAGCTAGAAACGCTGCCGAGATTGCTCAAAATTTTGCCACTTCACCCCAGAGCTGACAGAGTGGCCTGTCAGGGTCTGAGAGTCAGGTTGACAGAATGACATACTTTTAAAACCAGATCATACTTTTAAAAGTCAGTAAGGATGATGTTGAGGTTGCTGGATTCAAGTTAAAGTCCAAAAGACTCCTTGATGCCAGAGCTATTGGTTCCTGCATGCTGGTTTTTATGCATACAATGTGAGGCTGAAGGAGACATCTGATACCCGTTGTCTTCAGAATGAAATGAAAGTTCATTGCGATGTTCAGCATGTTGAGCCATTTTTCATCTATTTTCTGTCTCATTAATCAATTCTTTTTCAGGGGCACTTTTATTGAGTTCCGAAATGGGATGTTAAATGTGTCTCCCATTGGAAGAAGCTGCAGCCAGGAAGAAAGAATTGAGTTCTATGAACTTGATAAAGTGAGTTACAACTCTTGAAAAGTATCCAGCTCTTCTGGAAGAGACAGTTATGGCCAGGTTATGATTTTTAAAAAGCTTTTATACTTTATGCAATTTTTTTCATTTTAATCTTTTCCATGTGGTTTAACTAACTTCTTAGTTTGGACCCCAGGAAATACACTATAGGGTTTTTTTTGTTGCAATAGTTAACAATGATTACTTGCAGAAGGGGCAGGTTTGGCTCATGTTTCTTTTAACCCTTTATCCAGCGTACAGAACATCCTACCTCTACACACAGGGTTCCTGAAAAACCCTGTTGTAGATAAGACCATTCTTATTTGGATTGCTCTTTAGTATACCAGCCTATATCCATTCAAATCAATAAAACTATTCCTGTTCTTGTCAACTCTTTAAAGCCTTTTAAAGCAGAATTCAAGAGCTGAAGTCAAACTGTTCACCACTTATTTTCCTTTGTACACAGCTAAATGTGCAAGGCTGAAATTAATCTGAGCCATGGTATGAGAGTTCTGTTCCCTGCTACACCATAACAAGTGTTTCTGACCTGATACAAGAACTGAAATCTAATTCCTCAAAAGCAGCCTTTGCCTGTGACTCAGTTAATGGATGCTGAAAGATATCTAAGCCCAAGGCATTCTGAAAATACCCTCTGGGGAGTATATGGCATCAGAAACTTTGTACCAGTTTTGAGACTCTTCCTATGCCTCAGTCTCCCCATTTGTAAAACTGAATTTTACTGGGAGTCGAAGCATACTTCCTTAGTATTTTAAGATTTTCAGGTAGAAAAACAAGTATCACAGCATGTATGTGAAGTTTAGCTCTCATTTTTTTACAAGTTGGTAGCAGATTGAAGTAGAAATACTCTCAGCATGCTTTCAGTGATAATAAAATATAGTTATATCACACTAGTCCTGGTACTCAGGCCTAGTATGATATAGGTGGTTTTTTGGGTTCTCTTTTTATTGATGAATTAATGTAGCATGTAACTGATGTTTGGTTTTGTTTGGTTTCTTTTTTTTGAACAGAAGGAACATATAAGAGAGAAATTTGTAGCTGATTTACGAAGAGAATTTGCAGGAAAAGGCCTCACATTTTCTATAGGTATCACATTTTAAAAGAATTTCATTTAAAACATAATTTAATTTAAATTTCACTTAAATCACACCTTCTTATGGGTATGAAGTATCCTATCTCATTTGTGTGACAGTTATCTCTGGGGGTGGTTGCAGGCATTGCATGCAAGCCTAAGCCTCTTCTTCTTAGGCTTTCATTTGGTACGTTTTAGTTGAAATACATCCACAAAGAGAACTTCATTGCTTGTCATCAGTTCATTGTCTTTGAATGTCAGTTGTGTGACTGATTCTGCTCATTTTGAAACATATTACATACTTCTGATTAGTCAGAGTTGTTGCTGTGAATCAATTTTGATCAGAAATACTACATCAGTACTGTTCCCATAGCCCTTGGTTCTTCAGCTCTGTAGCTGCAGTGTGTGGGAGGAAGGAGAGGAAAGAAAATCCAAAAGCAAGTGCAAGTTTAAAGAGAAAAGTGATAATAAGAGGGAATTAATTTTCCATGCATCTTTTATTTCTTTCCCTCTCCCCCAATATATTACCACATTCTTGCCCTTTATTATTTTTCAGAATTATAAAAAGACATGGTTGCCATTAGTGCTGTGGTATTGAAACACTGGGGCAGAAATTAACTGTACTATAGCTCTCCTAACGCTTGCTGTAAATACCATTTTGACACCCGCTTCAGCTGGGAATGACACTTTCTGGTATTGGTAAAGTCCAAGGATTTGGAACTGGAACAGCTGTTGTCCTGTTAGGCTGTGTTAAAAAGGCTGATTTCTTCCTTTTTCTATTCTGAAAGCTTTAGAAAGTCTTTTGCATCACACTTTATGGCTGTACATATACCAATGGCTGTATTAATTCATGTAGTTTCTTTCTAAAAGTAAAAAGATTAAATGTAATTTTAAAGAAAAGGTTCGGTTTGTAGCAGAACAGTCAGTGTTTGGGAACATGCTAAGACTTTCATATTTGTTTAATGGGTAAATAATCTGTAAATCACAACTGTAATAACTGATACCCTATAAAACACTTTCTGCACTTGTAATACAACTTATCTCCAGGGTCTCATAAAATTTCTGTGACTTCTGCAAAAGCTCCCTCTACCAAAAATGTTTCCTTGTTTAGTTTTTCCTCACTTATTCTCCCCTCAGAATGTGTTCTTATAATAAAATTAAGTTTGCTTGGTTCATGTCTATCTCAGGAGGCCAGATAAGCTTCGACGTGTTCCCGGATGGATGGGATAAGAGGTACTGCCTGGGAATCATTGCCAATGATGGATATAAGACTGTTTATTTCTTTGGAGACAAGACTATGCCAGTGAGTATACTGTTCTGTATATACATTTCAGAGCTTCTGTTTTAAACCACAAGCACCTTAGGTTCTAACCAGTGGCCTTATACCTGGCAAGAACTGAAGTAAATTTAAATGTGGACGTGTGTCCGTGTTCAACTGGCTGTGCAGTACTGGTCAGCATAATGCATTATGGAGACAGCCACGAGCATAGATTTTTCTTCTGTTTCCTGAGGCAAACACAGTGTTCTTGACAGACTTAATACTGGAATATGTTTTTAAATTGAAATTCTAAAATTACGTTAAATACCTAGGTGACACAGCTATATAAAACTCATTATCCTGTTTGGTTATTGTAGATTGATGCTTCTTGTTGGCTAGTGATTATTAAATGCATTTATTTTCCATTGAATTTAATATGTTCCTTTGCTAAGCACTCTGTCTCTACATTGAGGAACTGAAATTATATGTAATCCCTGTCACTAGTCATTAGAGAGAGCTGAACAGCTCTGCAGGGTGATTCAGGGGCTTTTGAAAATACGGAGCAGGGACCTGACTGGAGCTAGTGAGGGCAATGGCAAGCACAAGGACTTGGATGAAATTAAGGCTGTCTGAACAGGGCCAAGGGACAGTGTCGGGCTTAGTTTTATAACAACTTACAGTTTTATAACTTATAAAGAACTTTATAAACTTAAAAAAGACCAAGTTCTGTAAGAAAAAGAAAGACAAGCTTTAAATGAAAGGGGTTTTTTCCCCCCTTGACACCAGCTGCAGAAGTAATCACCTGTCCCTCTGGCATAGAGTTTATGGACAGTTGATAGTTGGCAGTGAAGCATATTTGGAGTTTTGAAGGAGCAAGTGTTGCTGCTGACTCACGGGAAAGCAGGGTGGCAAACAACGTACAAAAATTAGGTACTGCTTCCTGTAGTGCATGAATTAAAAGTCAGTACTGGGTTGCCGTACGAAGCTAAACACACGGGTAAACTTATGCTGACTGAGAGTTCTGCTCTTTCGAAGCTAAACACACGGGTAAACTTATGCTGAGAGTTCGGCTCTTTCATTACCAGTTCTAACATGCAGATAAGGAAGTTCTCACACAAGTGTTTGTGGTATGCAGCAGAAGTTTCAGCACAGGTGTGCTATAAATCCATTATGCAAAGTCTCAGAATGGTGGTTTGCAGTTTTTTAGCTTTCTTGAAGACATGTCAGACAGGACTTATCTCCCTTCTCTTCAGAATTTCCTTTATGCGTACCTTTTCCACCCCAGGACTGTGAGTATACATTAAGCTAAATAACATTAAACCTTTTGCTGTCTTCCTCTTCTGTTTTCAGGGAGGGAATGACTATGAAATTTTCACAGACTCCAGAACAGAAGGCCACAGCGTCACATCCCCACAGGATACAAGAAGAATCTGTGAAGAGCTATTTTTTAAATAAAGGATTTTTAGAATTTACACTTAGAAAATGGTTAAGACAGGTTAATAACTCAAAACATCTTTCTTCATTCTGTATTGTTTTTTGTAATTGGCCAGTCATTACAGAAGGGAAGCTGCTATTTAAAAGATTAATATTTTAGAAGGTTTTTTTTTTTAAATACTATATTATGCTATCAAGACAGGAATTATAAGACAGTGGAGATTTTTTTTCTTTAAAATGCAAAGATGAGTAAAAGAGACAGGTTTTATTTCTTTCTGGGGGTGGGAAGGTAGAAATGAGCCAGAAGTCCCTGACCTCACACATATCCCAGTGCACGGTCAGAAGGTGCATCGAGTCTACCACCACTGGGAAGGCTGGTGCTAAAGTTACCTCCTCGGTACAGTTGTGGTGCCAGTGCACGGTACGGTTTATGGTAGCTACACTTTTTGCAGACTTTTTAAATCTAAAAAATTATTAATTAAAGCAACTTGAATAGTAGCAAAATTACATTTCTGATTTTCCTGGTAAGACATGAAGGGTAGATGAGATTTTAGTACTAAAAAAAATGTTCCTATTAAAATTCAAGTTGAAGCATAACAATCAATGTAACTGTTAATATTACTTTTCTCAGCTGGCATTAGGAAAGTAATCTTGTGTATGAACAGTTTAATTTAGTAAAGGAGAATAAAATCTCTTTTTATCATGAAAAATTACTGTATCAATTTGTTATTTTGGCAAATAAAATATATAAAGCAGACCTGTTGTATGCTGCCTGTCTGTACAAATAAACGATGGACTTGAATCTTTCCAATTCCAAGTTTATGTGATACTTGTGCAGTAACAAAGGGGAGAATACAATCTTTTGTGTACAAACCAAAATCCCTCAAAGGGCTTACAAAAAAAGAAGGGGGAGCCATAATGCTCTCATGCATCAGAACTATATTTTTTTCTAATGCTTCTCATGTGCCTACTTCCATAGGGTAATTCAGCCTCAGCCATTCTAGTGGGTGCAGACTTTGGACCAGAACCATCTGTAGTGCAGGAAGGCTCTTTAAAGATTGACAGATTTTAACAGCTGCTGCTTTATGTGTGCACATGTGTGATGTATCTGATTATTTGGTTGCTCAAAGCATGGTTGTGTCTATGTTTGCAGAGAGTTACCCTTGTAAAACATCCTGCGCAGGACCAAAACCAGATTTGTTTTCAGCTTCAACTACACTCACCTGTGTGCACATACCTGCATATGTTCAAATCATAAAAGTTAGCTTCCTAGTCAGTCCTGCACAGCCATTGCCTGTAGCTAAGGTTTATCTTCTGCCTCTTGTGCCAACAGATGAGAAGCAAACAGTCTGTTCCTCTGGGGGGAGAAAAAAAAAAAAACAGAAAACAAAGAAAAGCATCCCACAATGCTGAGTCCCTTCCATCCTTC